TGCAGAGAACATCTTTCAAGAAAGCTTTCCCTAGCAATTTACCCCTACTTTTGTTTTTGTGTCTCCTCATATCCTCTCACAGATGGATGGAAGTGATCCGAAGTGCCACCAGCTCTGCCTCACGCACTCGTGCTTTGAGTCATAAAGAATCTCATGCCTATTGACAGCTAAACAAATTACCATGGTCATTGTCCAGCAGCTGCTGATTTTCTAGAGGACATTTTAAACACTTTTCTCCCTCTAAGTTTAGTAAAACTTAACGTTTGTTAAAAACAACAACAACAACAACAAAGTATGGTTTTGCAGAAACCTTCATGAGTCCCTCAGCAAAACTGTTTGTTTAAGTAAGTTTTCCATATGGTCAAAATAGGTTACCATCATCCCAGTGGCTGCAGCTAGTTTCATGTCTTGTATTTTGTCATTCTGTGCTGTTTTTAGCTTGTGCCAGTATTAAAATATTGTCCTTATTAGAGTGCCAAATGCCAAAAGACATTTTGTTGCCTCAGAGATTGCACCTAAAAACTCAACAAATTCACAATCTGAAAAACTTTCTCCTGTGAGGCAAACACTATTTCTTCTCTTTTCATAAAAGTATATTATTTTTTTTTACCATGTTAATCTGTAGACTGCTGGATTTTTCAATGTAGATGGACTTTCACAGTATAGAATATAATTATATACACAATAAGCAGTCTAACAGGAATGAGATAACTCAGATTTCATTTTTTCCAGTCTTTCTATGTTTAATCAATGAGGAATTACTAATTTTCTATCTTTAACAAAGAAACAGTTTACAGCTCAATCTCATTTCCCTTTAGGGTTACAAATCCATGTGGTATAAGTAAACGATAGGATTCTTATCTAACAATGTTCTTGGTGCAAGTTGACCAAATTGTTCATCTGTTGGCTTTGAAAAGTGAATACTACTTGCAAGATGAAACATTTTTTAAATGATCCAGTGCAATATTATTCGGGCTGTTAATGTACTGTGAATGGTATGTACAAGGAGAAATTAAAGGCTGTGGTGACATTCTGCTGTTTGTTTTACAAACTTGAAAGAAACCCTGTATGCTACAAGAACCGCAGCTATTTGTGATTAATTTGTAGAGTGTTTTGGTAACTAACATGGACTCAAGCACTATAAACCAATGGTACTACTTAACCCACAAGTTTTCATCATGCCTATACATCCTCATGAGACTTTCATTTTGTTCTTGGAACTTCAGTTTCTTTCTCTCCTGGTGCTCAGTATTCAGAGAGTGACAGATGTAATCATCAGTGGAAATACCTATTTTGCGTATCTGTGATTTTGTGTAACATTGTTTTTTGGATAAGCTGCTGATGCAGCTTGTTGAAGATTGCCAACTGTAAGTCTACCATGATAAGACACTTTTCCTTACGTTTTAAGAAAGACTTCACCATGATGATGATATAAAACGTCCATTAACAAAAGCTCAATATGCTAGAAATGCATCTATCAATCACCATTAAGGGCCTTTGAGGAAACAGGGCTAGGTAGATGGGGGCCCTGAGTATCAAAATGGGAGACAAAGTTGAGACAATTCTACCCCCAACTTTTCTTTGTGTAGTATCTGATTTGTTGATTGCCTACCCTTATGCAATGTATAAAATGGCTTATAGCTTTGCTTACAACAAAAGGGAATAAAATACCTCACAATACTATCACACATATTGATGTTTCAAGACAGTAAAACTTTCTATCCCTTCCCCCGCCCTTCACCTCTCTCCTGAAAATCTCAGTAGAATTAGGGCTCCCGACAAGTAGCAGAATTTGAGCCATGAAAAGTTACTCAGGATCATGTGTGTGTGTGTGTGTGTGTGTGAGTGTGTGTGTGAGTGTGTGTGTGAGTGCGTGCGTGCACACTTAGACTGTTACTTCCAAGAATAGCAGGGGTTCTTTAGCCCTTCTGAGAAGCGTTCATCCCCATGGCCAAGTATCAGTCACTCTGGCCAAACAAAAAAACAAACAAAAAACAAACTTCCTTCAGCTTTGCATAAATCTACAAATCCCTGGGCAAGTAAATTGTTGCAGCTGCTCTTTTCCTTAGATAGTTCCCTTTAAAGAGAAAGAAGAGGTTTTGTTTTTAACATCAGTATGGCTATAATAATCGCATTATGCCTCTACACCTACAGCATTTCCTCTATCCAGTTATGAGGTTTTTAAGGACATACCTAGACAACAGGTAGAAAAATCAGAAGCATTTTTACAGGACCAGTAATACTGGCATATCAATTCCAAGTCTATAACCCTTGTCTTACAATACCAAATGAAATGAGTTCAACAGTCTCAGTGAACCAATACTGCATGTGAACTATAACGCTCCAGAAATGTGAACAGTGATCTTTATAATGGTGAAAAAGGGAAATAACTCAGCATAGATTAATAGCAATTAAGCAACCACCTAAAGGCTTGGGAAAACAAAGCTAACGAAGCAGCAGCATGTAATGGTGCTATTAACAAGTTCAGTAATGAAAATATTTAATGTACGAGAAGAATCATTACTGATCTGTAAAATTATATGCACTAAAACTTACAGTCTCTATTTTTCCATATCAAAACAGTAAGGAAAACCAAAGCCACCATTAACTTAACATTATTGTGCATCCATGTTAAACACTGATGTGTTTTCCTAGGCGAACACCCTTCCCTCCAGCTTAGATCTTTTATCACAATTCATGCTAAGACTCTGTTGGTTTTTAAGGGATGGTAAGAGTAATGGGACAACTGCTGATTTCTGGATATACATTTTACACATAGGAAGTACAAGTCTCTCATAGGAATTCGGGAAAAAACAGACAATACATAAATGACTATTACAGCAACTGCAAAAGCCTGTGCTCCTTAAATCCACACATACAAACTACTGCTAGATCCTTACAGCTATAATTTACAATTTTATCTTTAACCATGATTTTTTTTTCTTTAAGGACTTTATATTGAGGACAATGTCCTTAATTCAGCTAAAAATTGAATGCATTTTAGCTCACTGGGACTTGTAGGATTCAGTCTTCAGTATTTGCTGCAGTGGTTTATTCTGAGCTCTCAAAACAAGTGCTTTTATTTGACTTTATGTTCCTCAGGTAACAGCTTTTCAGGGTACATTTCATTTTCACAAAAAGTGAGCTTGGAAAATAATTTTTCTGTAATTTCTATGACAAACATCAAGGTATAGTTCTTTTTATCATCACAGCACAGACCTAATTTAACAGTGGCTACAGCATCATACTATCCATCCGATTCTTTGGTCAGGTTTTTCTTTTCTTTTTTTTTTTTTAAATGCGCTGAAAAGAAGCTTAAGATAAAAATTTTTCCTTCTTTACTAGTGTGAAACTTTTTAAAATTGTTTTTATTATTAAACAGAGCCAGTCATACTGCTGCCATTTAAACAGAAGTTTGTTAGTATTTCTATAGTTTTTTTTTATTACTAAGGTTAACCCAGAACTGAAATAATGGTAAGAGACTAAAAACAACTGTCTTGGCAGTCATATCTTACAATCCATAGAAGTCTAGGCATGTGAATAAAACTCATGATTTACTAGAATGCTGTAATATATAACTACTTTTTAAAGCCCTGAGTCACATCATAATATTGATCATCTAACTAGAGAGGCTTGGAGACATTTAATATGCCAAGCTTCATGGGTCAGTTTGCCAGAGAAGTACAAATATACTAACTCTCGTTTCAGCAATGGAAACCTGGTCACTTAAGAGATTTTTACTGTTCTTATTTGGTATTACTTGCCATGAATAATCTATTGCTGCTTCAAATAATGAACATGTAAAAGCAAAACAAAAACTATTGTAATATAAAGTTGCACCACAAGCAATGGGATCAACAAAGCCTGGACAAGGCTTTGTTCACAAGAGTAAGCTAGATTCTCTGTCGCTTACTTTGTTTCATTAGGAAATCCATCTCGTTAATTTACTCAGGCCTACTTTCACAAAATTTTAGTAATTACTGTAGAGCCCTTGATTCTTTTGTCAAATGGAACTGAAATCAACCTTAATTTGATTGAGACTGGAAGACAAGTACACAGGCAGGGAAGTATACACTACAGTTGCACAGATCTTGAGTCTTTTAAAGGTCATTGACTATAGAAGAGAGATCTCATAAGGAAAACTCTTTAGAAACAAAAACAAGGCAATATCCCACAGTTCTATCAACTGAGACCACAGCAAAGAAACCAGCAGAACCTGAAAAGCCTGACTTTGACCACTTTTCCTTTCACACAGGACCCATTATGTGGTCTTCTCCCCAAGCATAATTATGTACATGCAGCCAGTTATACTATTATAATTCCTAGAGCACACGAACATCTCCCTGCAGGAAGCAAGAAAGACTTGGTTAAAAAAAAAAAAGTAGCAGCCATGTGGTACTTGTATGTGTTTTTTAAATAACAAAGTATGAATGAAATAACTATTGTGAGTGCAAATGTCACTGAAGTTTGGCACTCACAGTTACATGGGTAACTAAAGATGTGATGTTTGTGGGTAAGCTAACGCAACTTGATGAGCTTCATCAGTTGCCCTGGGCTGGCAGGATGGGCAATACAAAGCAGTTATTAAAAACTGTGATTTGTAAATCGATGCATTTTCTTACTATAGGGCAAACTGATGTACAACTGCACACAGTTAACCAAAACAGGAGAGTGTGTAATCAGTTGCATATGTGTAGATTAAAAAAAAAAAAAAACACACACACACACAAACATATACACTTGGCCAAGAAAAGAACTTCAAGTTTTCCAACAGTAGAAAATAACCTTAACATTATCTGCTCAGAAACTGTTGCTCCAGTTTAAACAAGAGTTTTTTATGAATGCTGAGATACTACAGTTAAAAACTGAACACCAATTTATAAACTTTCTGTTTACCCATTACTGACATGTGGCCAATAACAGATCCAGAACCCACAGGAGCAAACCCTGCTGGGAAGAGATCCCAGAATCTCCTTGTACTGACCACTCAGATGGCAACATTTCATTTAACTTCTCCGTCTTTATTTCTAGGCCATGTAGTTTACACGGAGTTTATTATGTTGGTGTAGAGTGACAAAAGTAAAATTTAAATACATGTTTATAAACAGGCAGCAATATTACAGAAAACAAGGTATACACTCTAATTGTCCTCTGTAATCATGCTTAAAAAGAAGGCAGAAACCCCATTGTATATGTCTATTGCATATGCTCAGTGCAATTACTAGCACATCTGCAAAACACAGTTAAAAAGAGCAAGCTTGCAGATTTGTGCTATACTTTTAAGCTCCTCCCCAGCAAATTACAAAAATAATTTATGATTGTTCTGATCCTTGCATTATACCTGTGCTTATTAACACTTCTGACAATTTTCCAATAGTGATATTTCTGAAGGCAAACATACGTTTCCTTAAACGTAAGGCTAATGTAAACCTGTTACAAAACAGTACCATATGTTTAAAAAAGAAAAAAAAAGCCACAGAAGAGAGTAAGACCAAACATTTCACAAGTACATTAAAAGCACAGCCAGATGAACAAGTTATAGTGGATAAACCAGGATGTGAACCTACAGCGTGCCAGCTACTGTGCAGTTAAGTGCCAATGTGCATATTCTCATCTTACCCTTCCAGTCACCCTTCTCCCACAGTGAAAGTAGAGTTGCTTATCCCTCAGTTAAATCATTCCACAGTAATTGTTCATCTGTCCATACCCATACCGACAAAATTTTCAGAGCTGCAAAGAAACCGTGGCATTTCAGAGAAAGAACGGCTCTGTTATTTTACCAAAAGCATTCTGTGCTGTAATGATCATGCCTTCATACTTTACTAAACTGGTGATCAACTACAAAAGTGCAACTGCAAGGAAAATTAAGTTAAAAAAATAGAGTACACATCTGATACGTACAAAAACCAAGCTTTCAGTTCAAATGACTAGGGTTTTTTTTTTGTTTTTTTTTGTTTTTTTTTTAAACAGAGTGAGTTTATTCACTGCCTAATCTTGAAACCCCTGACAAGTACGCAGTTCCACTAATTCAAATGTTTGCATAAGTAGGGATAACATGTCATATTTAAGACTGAGTGAAGATGTATTACCTGCACAGAAAAATCATCAGTGCAACATTGTAACAGATACTCTAGCATGAGACAACCTCTTAAAAATATCAATACACTTATTTTTCCTTCAGAAATTGACACTGTTACCAATATAGATCTTATTTTTAAAGCATCAATACTTTTCCATAGCAAATGATTGTAATTTTACATTCAAGAAACAGCACACGTTTTTCAATGAATATTACTTTAAGATAGTCTATATTTAAATAATCTATATGTTACATACAAAAATACACATCTCTACCATAAATGAGGTTTTGTCTTTTTCTAAATGTCCTAAGCCTTTTAGCCTATTGGCCTTGCAGCAGGTTTTACTTGTTTTATGCTCCTAAATGAAGGGACACATCCACCAAGCAAATTCTGTTACCATCATCCACTCAAATGGAGAAATGCTTCCTCAACAGACAATCCTAGAATGCAACTAAAATCAAAAGAAAACATGAAAATATATTTTTATAATTTTTAAATGATTATTCAACAGTAATATACCTTAGAACTTCACATAATTTTGATCAAGAAATTCTTGAAACTCCAGGTTACAATTCTATGCATATTTTAAATGCAAATACATCTGCTTATTTTCATATGCTGTAACAGCACATCTTTATCATGTTGCTGAATGTTCTAATATTGAAAGGTAAATTTCCCATTGCACTGTATTCTGATGCACTTTTCACAATAGCAGAGTTGAATTTGTTTCCTCAAGGGCAAACCTATCCTTAACATTTCAAAAGCATATAAAACAATGCATACTTAAAGATATTAATCAAGAGTTATAGACCAATGCTTGAATTAATGCATTGTTCACTTTTTTTTTTTGTTTTATTCACTTAGCCATAAAGGAAGGCTGTTAAGTCATGAGGCTGGCAATGGCACGTGCCTAAGAACTGGGCTACAAGAACGAGTGCACATATACCCAGCCTTTTTCCACCATTGGTTCAACCCAGTCGAAAGTTTCATAACTCTGCTAGCATAACAGTGTCCTTTAGCACTGTTAAATTATTAAATTAATAATAGATAACTGTATTAATAATTATTAATTTAATAATTAAGGGCATTAATATGCATATATAAGGGTTAGCATGGTGCCATAAAGTACTGCAAGGAAACCTCACTTGCTTCAACAATGCTTAGAGAACTTGGGTCTTTTTGCACGAAACCAGGTAGATATGCCTGTACTTATTTTAACTCTTTCATTTCCAAATTCAGTTCCAAATTTTTATTCTTTAAAATTTAAACAGATAAAATACTTCACTGTCATCATTTGCTTCATTAAAACAAGGCAAAATGGTCTCTTTCGTGGCTACCACAAAAATAGGCACCTGACTATGGCCTTGGTGAAACAAACCAAAGCAAACTACAGAGTAACACTGTGAAAAACTACCACCTAACCAATTCTGCATATACAGATGTTACTATTTCCAAGGAAATTTAAAACCTTAATCAGCTATCGAAAAGCAGTCAGAGGAACCCTGGAAATTTAGCTTCAGAATTTTCAAGAAGTAATTTTTCTCTGGGGAGACAAGTTACAGGACACAGCATATACCATGCAGGCTCAGATCTGCAATCATTCCGCCTAACTTCTATCACTTCCAATAAAGAGTTGCACAGATTTAGATGGCAGGACCAAACACCGAATATACAGATAATTTTTCTATTATTTTGCGAGTAGCTCATTTTAATGATAAAAATAGGCATAATGAAGAAACATTTACTACTCTCTCAAAGCCAACACCTTAAGGAGATATTTCAGAATAAATGCAGGTAGTAAAAATTTATTTGTATGAGCATTCAAACATGTTTAGATGGAAAAAAAGACTGTATCTGAATTTCACTACAAGTTTCACAAATATCTACTACTAAAACTGAACAATACATATGGTTCAGAATTTGCATTGGCACAACTTAAAACTGAAAATATGAAAGAGCTCATTCTTTTGGAAAAACAATAATTTAAATTTAAAGCTTTGAGAGATAAGGTGTGTTAAATTTAAAACAACGAAAAGTAATACCATAATTAGAAAGTCACACTCAGAATATAGATTAAAAAAGAAGAAATATTGGAGAAACACAAGAAAATTGTATGTTTGCTGAGGTACAAACAGAGGGTTCCATAATACAGGATTATCTATCTTTCAATGGCAAATCCTTCACACACAAAAATCAAACCAAAATTCACTTATCACGTAATTCAAAATTTACATGTAGTAAAGGCAAGGCAATACTCAGTTATGGCCTGTCAAATATTTACCCCACTAACATTATCTACAGAAGCACTTTACCATTTTGTACACAGTGATTCCTTATGCACGTTGAAAGGCTTTCAGTTAAAAAAGACATTATATACATATCTGTACACAACTCCAACAGAACATACCCCATCTCCCAGTGGAATTCTTAAAGCAAGATACCTGAGGTTTCTCAACATCTTCAATTTACCTATCACAAACCTAAATATACATTTCAAATTTTACAAAAAGACACCTCCCTGGAATATGTGCACTATCATTTAAAAAACTACATCTTTAAAGAGCTGAAAAAGACTGCCTCCATCTGAGAGACTTCATTTTTGCTCTTGCACATTTGGGAATGTCCTTCCACCCAAGGACATTCCAGTGACCGAGGGGCAGAACAACACTAGGGTGCGCTTCTTCAGTGTAGACACCATGGGATCTCCGTTGTCTTAGAAAACTCAGAAATGCTAGTTCAGTAGGATGAAGTACCTCCTCCAGTTAGTGAGTATCTGGAGAGGAAATGAAATAGTTTTTTTGTCACCTTCAGAACACAAGTTCAAGCCTTTTTCCTTCCAGAATGACATCTACCACTACTTTACAACATGCAAAATAGGCCCTATTAGAACACAGCTACTTTTCTATCAAATGGTATTAGCCCATGTTCAAATGTGTTTCTAAGTAGTATTCAAGTATTTTTTTACGCTGTGGGCAAAATATAGTAATTTTAAACTTTCCTATCTGGCAAATCTATATCATAATCATTCCAAAATGTTACAGAAGCAGAAAAGTTCTTTTTCTTGGTCTGAACAGATTTTAAATCACCTAAAGAGACAGGTATACTTTTTAAACATATTAAACTTTCAATAAAGCTTTGTAAAATATCAGAGATCAGAATTGGTGGGGGAAGGTGAATGGATTCACTCAAGTTATTGAGCTAGATCTTTTGAGGGTCCCAAATTAACATATTCAAACAAACTGAGAGAATTCAGTTTCGACCAATTACAGGAGGAATAAAAATCTTGCTAGGAACATGTGGTGAAAAAGCCATTATCCATAGTTTGCCTATCAAATGGAGAGGCTATTGCAAGTGAATATAATAACTTAATGATATAACAGAGCACGTTTGTAAAAGTTGTCCTAAAAGACTGTAATTTTATATAGATTTGAGTAAATGTCAACAATTTAATATCAGAGGTATCTTGAAATATGATGAAACAGATATTTCAACTCCACTGTACTTGAGAGGAATGTCAATCTAAGAAAAATTTAAATTTAAATTTAACATGCACAAAACGAAAAAGCCTTAAAAAAAAAAAAAGAAAAAAACACATCCTTTCAGCAGCACTCAGGTTCATACTACCAGACAATATGATAATTGTTCATTCCAGAATGGGGTTTGCTTTTAAGGCATTAAAAATTGCTGATAGCAGGTACATACCCATTGTCAACTTTATTATTATCCAAATATAAGAAAGTAAAAATTCTAGATGAATTAGAAAGTTTTGCTAGTGGTTATTTACGCTAACAGACACTGCAATTAGTATAGAGCTGTAACAATACTTACTGGTCCCAAGAGTTTGCAATTACCATTAACGCCCCCACCTCCCACACAAATACTGAGTAATAAAGATGGATAGACAGTACTGATGAATGGGTTTTTCTGAGGGAGATGTTTATGTGAAAGGTGAGAATTCACCTAATATATAAATAATGCTTTTACTTATTTTTTCTGTAGATAAATTTACATGAGCGATTAGCTGAAATACTTGGGCAGTATGCCCCATGCAAAAGAATTATTAGGAGGAGTCTTCTGCTGCTGTAAGTAGCGATTAGAACTCTTTTTTTCCTGTGTTACCATAGCATTTTTGCATGGCAAATTTTTGTTTTCTCTTTAAGAAAAACATTGGTGTTTAAAAACTGTCAGTCAGTAAGCAAGCAGCCCTACATTTGTGGGGGAGCAGAAAGAAGTTCAACAGTCCCTTTTTATTTCTCCTCCACTCTGACTTTGTTTGTTTTTTTTTATTGAAATGATGATTACTTCTTAGACTAGACTCCAACATGCAAAATAGAAACTATTCACACAATCACAGCCAGGGGAAAACCATCTACAAGTACTTAAACTGGCTAGTAAGAGTCAATGAGGTCTTAAGCATTCCAAATTGCCCTGTGAAGAAAATGACCTCTTTTCATATGTACAGCCCTCACAAAGTAGCTGCATAGTCAAATCTTTTCTTCCTCCCTCGAAGTACACAATAAATGAAGAGCAATATGTTAACTTCAGTGCCACCTGTCACAACCATGCAATCAAAAGTTACGGATACGCAATCAAGGGAATCACACCTTCAGACCTACAATTTTCTCCCTGAAAATTAGGACAGGATACATTTTATGTGCATGCACAACTTTCATCAGAAGACAAACACGTAACAGAATGAGGACAATCATCTTAAAACTGTGAAGAATCGTGATGAAAATAGAAACATTACCACAAATAATAGAAAATGCTGGCTGTGTTTACCTTAGAAAATTTAAAGCTTGGCAAAATGCACAATACTTGTGGGAAAATCATTTTGAAATATTAAAAGACAGTCAAGCACCTTTAAATAGCGAAAAGCACATTTTTTCTGTAATCTGCTATTTAAACCATAAGATTTTACTCAAATTTTTCTAAACTATTGCAGGATTGCATGAGAAATACAGTCCAAGGAAGGCAGAATCAGAAGAAAAACAAAATGCTAACTGAGCATACAAAGGGTTCCGAAATCTACTTCCTAGAACAAAAATGATGACTGCCGTTGCTGTTTTGACAGGTACAGGTAAAGATTATCTCCAGCACCCACCAAAGAAGTGCCCAGTGGAAAGCCTGCCTCCACACAAAGTCATTTTCAGCCTTGATTGCAGAATAAAATGCCTCTGAAATTCCCAATTCCAGGCAGGCCTTGCACCAGATTGATAGAAACTTTGACAGTAAAACCAGGAGCTGATGAAAGACGGTCAGTTTTGGATCCCCTAATGAAAACAGAAGCTCAGACAGAAGTTCTAGAAACTCTTTTGAGCCTGTCAGAATCAAATATAAGGAGAACCAGGATATCTGGCATCAAGGAGTCTCCCTTCAGCACTAGAGATGCTGACTGGGCTTCATTCTTAACAATCCAGAAAGCAAGAAAGACTATTTCGGCTTGCAGATTTTTCAACATTGGTTTTTACTGAAAGAGTCTCAGCCTGGCAATTCTCTACTTTAACTTCAGTGATATGAGTTCTTAAACTTTACAAGGCTGCAGTTAGAGACAGTATAAGTGAGATACCTGCCCAGGGCAAACCTTTCTAAGGCAGCAGTACATGGTAAATTACTGACATGAACATTTTATGTTACCAAGCAATTCAACCCAGATGGTGTAGATTCACAATAGGTGTGGGTTCCTGGATTCAAGGAAGCATTTACAGGCTCTTCAAGCAGTAATTCTGAAATTTATCCTGACCTTATTCTTGTGCAGTATTTAAAAGAAGAGCAAATTGAGCATTAAGTATATGTTCCTAATCTAGGTAGTAAGTAAATCTCTTACGAAATCTGACCTTCCGAAGCAGTTCAAAAAGCTGTTTTTGGAGGAACAGCTGAAAGGCCATACGGACTATCCTTAATGAACAAGGAACTGCTTTATATGCAACTGAAAGAAATACAAACAAACAGAACACTCAATTTTATCAAAGCAGGTAAAAGAAATTAAGAATAATGTAGGGCATCCTCTGCAATATACATACATACATACATACATATATATATATATATATATATGGATATATATATCTCCAAACAGTGAGAGAGGTGTCAATGTCCCCTATGGGTAATGCAAAGGGAAAAGTCTCAAGTGACACAAAATACTTACACCAATAGGAATGCACATATGAGCTATCACTTGAAGCTAGTAATCAGAACTGCTGATATTAGGGTTTTTTTCCACCAAGGAAACACTTCTAATTGTGCATACTGTAAGCACAAAACCTTTTTCCTCTAAGTAGAAACTAATCCTTTCAATTTAACACTAGTTAAGTAAATGAAAAACAAGATCTGCAATTTTCTGTAAGCCTCAGTGAAATAGTTTTATTACCTCTGAAGCCTCTGCACAAGCTGTGACACCATGTTATCTGCAATGCCTGGACAAGCCTCTTCAGCTAAATAAATAGCCTTTCTCAGTTCTTCTATGGAATCTATGTTGCCACCACACACCTCAATTTTCTCTTTCAACTGAAAGAAAAAAGTCAGAGATACATTACTATGATATTCATAAATATTTTCATAAACAATATAATGCAAAAGCTAGCTAGGGAGCAACTGCCGGTGTTCACAATGTCAGAATTTGACTTCCATTATACACCCTCACATCCTGAAGACTTTTTCACCCTTAAGTCAGTCTTTGCAGCAGTTATCAGTATGTCCTTCACCTTTACAAGATTCCAGTCATTTAAACATTCTTTTCAGTGTGCTAACATTCAAAAACATTCATGACAAAGCATCCTGAGAAAGATGTCCTATTTACTATTTTAGTATTTGCTGCTAGATTTCAAGACGTATTCCTTACACATGCTCCCTTCAGTATACTTACCTATACACCTAGAGCTTACACATACATGCTGCAGGTGCATTTGTGAGAGCTCTGTTAGAAAATGTTTTCACCCTATCAGCATCTGTAACAGACTATCCATAAGAAAATACATGCCCATAAGAAAGGAAACACTGCGATGAAATTTTGGAACAGTTTGGGAAAGTTGTAGCCATCCACCAGAAGCTACATAGAAGAGGAGTCCAAAGAACGAACCAAACAGCAGACATCAGTCTAAGACTCCCCTGCCATAGTGTGAAAGCATACAACAAGGAAGTGTTTGAGGAAAAATTTTCTACAGCCTCTGCTGCTAGCTGCACACTATAAGGATGGAAGTAAATGCCAATATTCATAAGGACTGCAATGAAAAATATTTATGTTGCTGCAGCAGTGCTAGGGGAACCATTCACTCACAGGGGACAGCAAGTAACAATAAGAAAATAAGAAAATAAGAAAATAAGAAAATAAGAAAATAAGAAAATAAGAAAAGGAAGCAAGCAAGGCAAAGCATAAGACAGTCACTAGGGAGTGATGCCATGAGAAGGAAGAACACAGAGCAGATATTTCTAAAAGACATGTAATAAAGGATACGGAGGAAAAGACAATGGAAAATAAAGAAAGGATGAAAATGGAGGACAGATTGTAGAAGACAGTGGGTACACAACCAACATCACTCATGATATGAGGGAGAAGGGAAATCTGAAGGAGATGCAGAGCAACCAGAAACTTTTGGGAGATGGGAAGGCAGGGAATTGAAAGGAATTTTGAAAAGAAGCAAGTCAGTCATAATACATTAAGATCTGCAATGGAAAATGCCAAAATCCCTATTTCAAATATTTTTCCATTTTACATAGAATAACAGGCCCATTTAATATCGAGTGTGAATAACCTAAGACAGAGCTCTTCCCTTTTAAATAAGTTTAACTGCTTTACTACACTCAATACCTTTACCGAACAGCAGGCAAAATTTGATGATAATCCTCCGAGGCAGGGCTTCATTCATTACAATAAAATTAGGATAACATCCTTTTACTAGAACAAAATTATCTCTACCTTTATTTCTGTAACAATTACAAGGATTGAAAACATTTAAATAAAAATCTTTCACATCAAAGATAGAGTGGAAGTGGAGTTTTTGTTTCTTAAATAGACTTCTATCAGCATTTTTAAATAATCACATCTTCATAAACATCTGGCTTCCTCTTCATACGATTTTTTTTCATGAGACTTCAATAAAGTATTTGGAAGAATAAGCAAAAACTAGTATAAAATTCAGAATGGGAATACAACATAGTTTTCAAAATTGAAATTCAAAAGTTCCATTCTTGCTGGCCTAATCTGCAGCCGCATGGTTGTAAAGAATTGAAGTATAACAGATAAAATGACAGATAAAAAGGAGTATAAATGTTTGAATTGCAGTATTCCTTTTTTTAATGCCATTTTATCTGTTTATTTTTCATATGCATTGCTTTAGGCTAGCATGGTTAATGCATGTCACTACCATGCATAAGTATTGTTAGAAGCAAAAGTCAAACTTCAAAAGATTACATGCATGAAAGCAAAGGCTACAACTAGAGCTATAAGGAGGACTAACACATCAATTTCCAAATGGGATGTAGAAACCTTGAGTTTTTCTATAATACTATTCCATTTTTCAGAGACATAAATCCTAGAATTAATTAAATTTTAACGCAATAATTTACCTCTGCAAACAAAGGGGATATAACTGTAGACAGGCACTGGGATAGAGGCCTCTTTGGGATATCCTTTTCCTTTAAAGAAAAAAAAAAACTAATCAATTTTATTTCTGAAAAAGTGTCTTCGTTGCTTTCTGTTTCTAATTACAGAAAAAAATAGTTCCAACAAACTATATGAAAAATGTGTTGCTATATACATACAAATATGTAAAACATTTGCACCAGGCTGATCTATAACAGTATGGGGAAGGGAGGGTGGATTAAAGTTTGAGGCTTTAGCATCTCAGATACACGCAAGTTCAAAATTAACCCCCATCCCACCAAAATCCTCCTCACCATGCACCCAGTCATGCAGATGCTGAAATTTATTGGGCAAAGACCTTTATGTGCCTCCAGTTCAGATAAGAGCAAACATCAAGAATTTTTCCAGCTAGGATACCTCCACCAGTCCCAGACACACAGGCTGCAGAAAGTAAGGTGGTGCAGCAACTGAATCCCACCCCCCTCCCTTTTTTTTTTTTTGGACTCGAAGAACATTCTTTGCTACATTGTAGTCTTTTGTCTAAAAGAAGAGTAAAGCATGCTTTCCCTAAAAACCCTGTCTAGCTTTGTACTGTACTGGCTTAAAATCCCTTGAAAGAAAGAAAATACATGGTAAAGTTAACTCAAAATAAAACAGGACACAGCCTTCTCCTCACTGTCCCGGCAATAGCATGTGTGCATATGTGCAAGTACCTTATTTCTTTGCAATTCCAAAGGCTGGGCTGCTCCATTCTCTAGACTCTTGGGATCTTTTTCTCTGATTGTGAAGATCCAGTCTCCTGAATCACTCCCTCCAGAAGCCTGACCATCTGGCTCACTTAGGAGTTTAAAAAAAAAAAAAAAAAAAGTTTTAGTACTCACATCTCATTGTCAATATTCTTCAGTATGTAGACTGAGCATAAAGCTTTCTTTCAAGACTAAAATCAGGATACTATACTGCAGGACAAGGAATATCGAGACAAGTGGGAAAAATAATGTAATTTATCTTTTTGCAAAATTAAAGGCATTTATTAAAAAAAACTAAAAAACTAAGGTACTTTACTAAATGTTAAATTAACTTTAAGAAGAAAGATAAGCATTGCAGATCAGAAACAATTTCCCAAGTTTCACAAACAAGGAGCATCAGCTATTTTATTGCTTTCTGAAAACTGGCTTCAGCAGAGGATCTCAAACTACTAGGGAAGGGAAGGGAAAATACTTAAGAGTTCTTCCACTTCTCTGCCTAGAAAAATAGCTAAGACACTAGCTTAGAATACCTTTGAGGAAGTTGGTTCATCCCCTGCCTCAATTTGCAAGGTAAATGATTTCTTCCTGACTCAAAAAACTTGGCTAAAGTAGTACTGATACAGCATGGATTTAACAAACTACACCACCACAAATGCATCTTTTGTCTCCTATTTTGTGAACAGCTTAGTGAAGAAAAGCAGCCTTTTAACTCTTCCGAAGTTAAAAACACACATATACTTATGCTGACACTAACAGTCACAGCATGATGTTTCTCTTCTCACCAGCATAAATTTCTTTCCAAATCATGAATTAGGACTAATCTTCAAGAACGCCATCAATTAAAAGGGCATCAAGTGGCCATTGTGCAAAAAGTATTCATAGTGACCTAGCAAGCCAAGAAGCAGGAGATAAGTGTAATAAAATTCTCCAATATTTATGTTTGAAGTAATATCTAAATTCTGGCTGTCTTTGAAAGAGATAGGTCTACTTCCCATGTATACGTTAGCTTTAGCAAGTTGATCCTACTACAGAAAAATATTTATCATTGATTTGGAAAATTAGTATTCCATTGTATTAGCATGCCAAATCAACACTCCCTCTGATCACATTTAACACAAAGGCTGCTAGGCAAACAGAGGACGGGAAAGCAGTATTAGATGTAATGTTAAATCATCTCATAAGCACTCAAAAACCGTTCTAGTTCCAGTACTCTCCTATGCCATGCCGTTAAAACTGGTCTCATTATTCCACAGGAACAATGAACTGCAATCTCAGACCGAAATGAGATCAGTTTAGGACCAATACTTTAACTTCCAAATCAGATCTGGTTTTTGGAACCTAGGAATTGAGCCATCAATAAGGTAGGACAAACCTACAGTTGTCACAGTGGCCAGAAAATCATAACCAGTCTGAGGCTTGCCATTAGCACACAGACTGGAATCACAGAGAACAATTGTGTTTTCCTTATTGCAATGAGAAATTTAATCAACTCATGAGGAAAACGTGACACTCCCTTCACTTTTTTTTTTCAAAAGTCACATTGTTTAAACTGCAAACTGACAATACCTATTCTCAAAATTAGACTACCAGAGTAAACTTCATAACTCAGTCTTCACTATTTTAATATGCTTTTCTCTTGAAACTACTGAGCAGTTCCATCTAAATTTGATGGAGAACTAAAAATTGGAAAGGAAAGAAATCTGAAAATATTTACAGCATTCCTCCTTTTTCTACAAGTAATTTGGTATTTTATGACTACCATGCTGCAGCGGCATAACCTTCCTGGAAGGGTGGGCCAAAAAATCTATCATAAAGAAATCCATGGAATGCGCTTTTGCCCCCAAGCCCCATTATCATGCAGCCATTATTCCAATAGCCATATCTTATATGCAAGGATATTCTTCTGCCCATTTACTCAGATGGCCAAAATGAAGGCCAACCTGCCAGCGAGTGGATACAACTCTCCTCCTTAGGTGGTCACACGCACATACAGAGCAGTACATGTGCACACCTGCTACCTGGCCGTGCAGGGTGAGGCCTACCTTCTGCTCCGGTGACAGAAGCACAGCTGGCCTTATGTGGATAAGGGTCCCTAGACCTCACCTCACAGAGGATACCAGAGAATGGGCCAGATGAATTGTTCTCAGTGACTTAAAGTTTTACATGAAATCCCTTGCAACACTGAAATTAAGATTTCCTTAGTTTAACCAAGGCTACTAACATGAGAAGCTGTAAATAAATAACAGAATATAAGTAGGTAAAACAACATATGTGGCAGAAGAAACCACTCAGCTTCTATATTTACAAAGGATGTTTTACAAATTCATCAAACTTACGTATCTGAGTCATCAGAGCTGGAGTCATCGTGACTTTGTTCAGACTTCCACCTCTTGTGCCTATCAATAAGCTCAGTCAGGTAGGAGGTTTTCTTTGCATTTCGTAAAATAAATTTGTGTTTTAACAGTTCCTTTGCAGTCGGTCTCTTAAAAGAAATGAATTTTTTAATTGCATTTGACAGTGTTGAAATGACCCATAGTTATATCACTATAAAGAGATTATTAAGCAAACTAAGCAATACTGTCACAGGCTTTGTGTTGATACTGTGCATCTTAAAATATTGCCATTTGTATTTACAAAAAAAGTAAGATGCTAGTGAGTATGTTGCCCCATACTAGGAAAGCTGAAAGCACTTTTTGCTACACAGAGACTAAAGGATAAACTTTTCAAAAGTGCCAAAACTACATATTAACTTCCTTTGATGTTCAACTGAATGAACTGCAGCCTCTGGCATCACTTGGGACAGAATTTTCAAACATCCATATGGCTATATTAGAACAATATGAGAACTGCTGCCTCTTTCTTAAAGCTTTCTGCCAGGAATTTTATTTTTTGTACAAGTTCTTTACCCAAAAAAAAAAAAAAATTTACAAGGAAATCTATCTCCCATTTAGACCAATTTCTGTACTGAAGTCCCGCACAGCAGAAACCTTTTCAAGTAAAAAAGAACTAAAGAGAATAGGTTAAAAAAAAAATTTTGAACCCACAAGTTTGCACACGTTAAAAAAAAGGCACCAAAAAACCTACGACCTGAACTCCTAAATGTATATTTTTTTAATTAAACAGTTGATTTTTCAAACTGCTTTAAAAAAAGCATACACATATATTGACTCTCTTGAGAGGAGCCATAATACATTGAAGTGGTTTTGTTAAATCTCTTGATAAGATATCTCTAAGTTGTACGACATACATCTGATCAAGTTTATCTACTGGTGGGCTATTTCCTTACCTATTTCACTCTGCCTATGTATCTTAAAATGCTTTGTCCACTTTATTTTTGAAAACTAGAATGCTAACTGAATAGTACTGTTATCAATACAGGGAAAAGCATTTCAACCTTAAAATAGCAAGTTTTAACTTCCATTAATCTCTCGAAATACATTACTGATATATTTCCCTCTAAACCCCCTGCAAAGGAGTTTTTCATAGAGAATTCGTGTAAAATGGGCAAGTTTTTTACTAGAAGATGACAAACAGCTGAAACTCACAAAGCTTGGGTCCTTGTTCAAGCAGGCTTCAACAAATTCTTTGAGAGATTTACTGAAATTTCCTTCCAGCGTTGGTGGATTGTTCTTAGGGATGAGGAACAACACCTTCATCGGATGCAATTCTGAATGAGGTGGCTCTCCTTTTGCAAGTTCTATGGCTGTTATGCCTAACGACCAGATATCTGCCTGTAACAAACAACACTTCAAAGGTTAGGCTGCAAAAGAAAAGGAAACAATGTTGCTGGTAAAGGTAGATGTTAACCTTTACTGTAAATCATTTTCATATGCAAATTGCTCTTGTTAATATCCCCCACCTATCTGCTCCCTTTTTTCTGTGTCTCCTAGAGCACATTGTTTTAAACCTCTATATCTGGTCTACAGCTTATTTTATTGAATTAAAATTAGCCTCGTTAAAGTGTAGTTCATAAACGCTCAGCCATTATTCTCTACACAGCATATAATCACACATACTGGAGTGCATAAAGTTCAGCACTTGTTTTTATTCTACTTCAAAAAGCAGATCTGCATATTAGAGTTTTAAATCTTTCTGAAATCAATACCATTTCACTCACAGTTAGAATCGATTTTGAAACAATTTTTTAAGAGTAATGCTGTACAACAGTTCCAGAAGCCTCTTCTAAAGCAATGATTAGTAAAGTTGTTATAAAACAGCATTTTATCTACCACATCCAAGTACATCCAAACAACCTTATACCATCCGTAAATTTTACCACGTTAAGATTTGTACAGTTTCAAGTCTTGAACAACAGTTATTCCCACAGGATCAGGTAGGAGTTGGCAAATCATTGCTAACTACAATTTAGTGCAGTATTGCCATAAGCCTTTCCTCTCTCATTCAAAGGAGTAAAAATCAGTTCAACTTTGATGCTCGTATAGCCAAAGAACAGCCAGGTACAGTAGGAAGAGAGATTTTTAAAACTATATTTATGTTGCTATTAGAAGCTATACAGCAGAAAGGTGCAGAACTAGATATAGGCAAATTAAAACAGGTAAGAGAAGATATTGACTTTCAGATAAAGAAAGAAAACAAAAGAACACAGGAGGAAGGAATAAGAATTACTGACAGAGTAACAGCAGCTAGAAAGAAGGGAAGGCTACTATGAGGACATTATATCAGAGAACAAACGGCTTAGAGAAAAGGAAATAAATGATGAGGGGAAAGATAAATAAAAAATGGGGAAAGAAAAAAGCAGGTGGTAACTTTAATGTCATGTAACTATTTTAGTCATATCTTGTTATTTTAGAATTTTTTTTCCCTATGATTGAGACTGATTTTTGGCAGCTAAAAGATTTTCTCTACTATTATCCCAACGGATTACTGTGACTTTAAAAATGAATTACAAGAGAAAATGAAAAATAAAGTCCAAATTTTTGCTACAAAGTACTCCTCGCAGATTAGCTATTTATCACATTAACATGTGAATGTTGTTACAGCTAACTTTCTACTCTCACACAAGCCACCTGGAAATACTAAGTTCCAAAATGCATGGCTCTGAATCATTATTTACATACCTCTGATACAAGTTGGTGAAATTTTAGCACCCATGTCAAATGTTACATTTCTTGTTTATTTTTAAGCAATAAACACAAATATTACAGTACCTTGTAAATACTACACATGGTCAGAGAAGGAATGATAGGAGTATCTTAGAGAAACAAACAGTTTGGGAATGGGACTGAATAAAACATCTAAGGAATGAGTAGATTTTGTATAGCAGGTAAGGAACAGGAATGCATAGCTCACTTACATCTGAGCAGTCCTGAAATATGATGTACTATTGAGAACATAATATTAGGAACATAAATTTGGACTTGGTTTGATATTGTTTAATTTCACCAATTTTCAAAGAAAAATACACAAAATGTATGCACTTATCAAATCCTGAATTGAAACTTCATTTTTCAAAAACACATAAAGTATGTCCATTTGACATTTTTGATCTATTCAACCAATTGCTTCTCTACCTTAACAAAAGATACTCTGTATTTATGTTTCCAAAATTTACATTTGGCAAGAAATAAGACTATACTCAAAATCACCACCTTATATTTAAGCCTTCATTATTTTTATACAAGCTTGCGAGACAATAACAGGAATGTTAAAAACATTGTAAAGTAACGTAAAGACAATAAAGATATATTGTTTCAACCAAAAGCTTTAAATTTCAAGTACTTCATGTAAGGAAATTCTTCAAAAGTCTCTCTTCAATTCTGAAATCTGTGTTTGAAAGGATGAAAGGATTCAGAAGCACACCTGAATTCAGATGAAGTTTGGTTATACTGTAATATCTAAAAATGTTTAGAGTAGAAATCAACATATTGGAAAAATAGTTCTTGCAGAACTAATACATGAGTTGACAATACAGTGTAGATTATGATCAGGAAGACCATCAGCTACCAGTAATGTTAAGAAGCACTTCTGTATTAACAAAAGAGCTTAAGCTTTGTAATAATTATTAGCGGTATTAGATCTCAAGCTGCATCTACCTTCTTTTAGCCACATTAGTGGCTTTCTGTCGTAACTCAGGTTTTGCTTACCCTTGCACAATTGTACAGTTTCAGCAGTCAGCATGAGCAAAGATATCAACCCAAAGAGAGAAGGAACAATAAGCAATTTAATAGTTGGCATGAGGCACGAACAGCAACACAATAAGGGAGGAAAGGAGCAGATGAGCATAGCATATCATTAGCAGAGCACTTTCAGGCCCTTTGAGAAATCCCATTAGCATGAGGGTAAGTAACAGGATTGGAGAGGGGAAGGAACAAAACTGGGTAACAGCAACTACTTGCCCCTCACTGGATGTACACTATAAAAAGGACACTCCTCAAATATGATCAGCTCATGGAAAGAAAATTAGGTTAGCACTGAATGTCTGCTTTCTCACTCATGTATAAGATAAAATAAAATAAAGAGACCTTACAAAGTGGTTGTTGCCCAACACTAGTAAAGCTGTCTGTAGAGACAGCTTAGTCTGCTTTCAAAATGTCAAAAGGCTCCCAGACACAAATAAGTATCTCTACCTCATTCAGATCTTGAGCTCTAGCTTTGCAGGGCACTGATCAAGCTTTTAAGAACTTTTTATGTACCCGGGACATTGTGGAATGAAGTAGCCAGAATTTAATACCTGAGATGTGTTTAAGTGAATCACGGTGCGTTCAAGAAAAAGTCATTCCCAAAAGCCAAACCTAAAAAAGCCCCCAAACGAACAAAAAAACCTGCTTTACTCAACATTATGAATTTGAGGTCTTTGAAGCTTCTAGAGGCTCGATAAGAGCCCTGCTAGCTCTTTTCAAATGACCTCTACACATTAAGATATCAAAGGGAAGGAAGTAATATCACAGATGATGTAAACCACTGTGTCAGTATTGGCCAGTTCCTTGCTTGGATGATGGTGGAAAGAAACAGGTCATCCTTTCTCATTGAGTTGTGGAACATGGGACTATGCAGCCCATTCTCCCACAGATCATGAACAACAGCACTTTCAAATAGCATGTTTGCACAACAGTCAAATCCATACCCTTAACAGTGCTGCTTTTTTTTTTCCCCTTTCAAAAAAAAAAAGAACTCAAAACAGTGGGGATTAACTTTTTCTATATATTTGCTCTCTTTCACTTTTAAACAGCCAGCAAAAACACTCATTAATAGAATAGGACAAAAGGTATGGGGAAATACTTGTCAATAGCATAATACTTGCTGCCATCTGGGTGGGCTTAGCACGCAAAAATTTGGAGGTTTGGATACAAATTAGGAAAGCTTCGTTCCACGCCAACAGCTTTAGTGGCTAGTCATCATAAAAATGTGCACCTGTCTAGACCCAGCCAAAGATGATTTGCTACATTCTGAAGACCAGCTTGTATAATTCAAGTTTGAACAAAAACATTTATAAATGAAGTAAAGGAAGGGACTTTGGCTAATGCTTTGAAATACCAAAGTCTCTTACCTTTGAATCATATGCTGATTGCTTTATTACTTCAGGTGCCATCCAAAATGGGGTTCCCACAAAGGTATTTCTCTTTATTTGTGTATCTGTTAGTTGTCCTGCTACTCCAAAATCTGCTAGTTTTACTTCTCCTTGCTCAGATAGCAATACATTAGCAGCTAGAATAAAGGAAAATGAAACAGCTGAAATTAATAGCTTTGGTACTTCAAGGTTATTCATTTCTACTGCATGAGCTAGTCTAAAAACAGTTACGACACACATAAAAAACAATTTACCTTTAATATCTCTGTGGATTTTCTTTTCTGAATGCAAGTAATCAAGTCCTTTGAGTATCTCCCTTAATATTGTTGCAATCTGGATTTCATCAAGTGAGCCAGGTTCTAACTAGGAGACACAAAAATATTTACACATGTGCGTACAACTACACACACACACACAAATAAAACTTAAAGCTTACGAGATGGCAAAGAAATAAGAAAATAACAAGTCAAGTATTTGTGATCAAATACATGAAATAAAATGAAAAAAAATTATATTCCACTTCAATCGTCTTTAGTCAAAGCCTGTCTTGCTAAGCGGTGAATCTTATGAAATTATAGTGTATGTCCTATCCGTCAGTCTTACCTAATAACGTCTGAGCCTGCCAGTCAATTGTAATAAATCGATCGGACAAAATTCACAAGTTCCTAAAAACTTACTTAAGACTGCTGGCTGCGTAGAAGAAGGATATCCAAAATTACCATGCAGTTTGTTCCCCTCTCTCCAAGTCTTTCACATACAAACTTTCCTATTTTTATAGAGCAGTGTGAGAGCGTGTGAGAGAGAGAATTAAATTCAATAGTTCAGTATTGTAATTATTTTCCTCCAATCTACTTAGCAGGGAAGGGGTCAGTTTATTTGTCTTACTATGCCTTGTCTTTTCTTCAGCTTAAGGAGAGAGACCTACCTTAAAATGTTGCTGTTGTCTTAGTTCCTATTTATTTCAGGAACTAATTTCTCTCGCTCTGCCACATCTCAAAACTTCCAGTTTGCTTACTTCATAACATGAGATACAGCCCAAAATACTTTAAAGAAAATACATGGCTCTATATCAAGCGTCTGACAAACAAGAAGCAAAAAATACTATATTTATCTAAAATATCTTTAAAAAGTTTGGTAAAACCTCCATAAAGACACAGTGTCAAGTTACAGCTTTGCAGCCATGTCTGCACAACCTTTGAAAAGTGTCTGTCTTGTAATCTTCTTATTTATATTGTATTGAACTGAGATGTGCAAGTCTACAGGCTGTATATAGACCCAAATCTCAAAATCTGAAGAGGAAACTAAAGCACTTCAGGCAGCACTTCAATCACACATGCTATTACTGCATGGGATTTTGTGAACCTCCTTGAAACACAACTCAAACTGTTAGCCTAACAAAAGCACTGCATACTGTAAAAGTTATTTTTTTTCACAAAAAAACCCAAAACAGGGAACCTATAAATCTTCAAATTGCTAGAATAAATGGTTCTGAGCGATGTAATTCTTGTAAGAAGAGACAGTAGGGATAGAAGAACTCAGAGCTTCTCCATCTGAGGTAAATTCCAGAAAGTGAGTATGCCACTAACTCTAAAGAGATAAAGATAAGATCACTACCTGAAGAGGCTTCCTTAATATTCTAGTTTATTCCACAGTAGCAGCCACTGAAGTACAACCAAAGCAAGAAGTTATACCTCTGAAGCTTCATTCAGTGAGGAATAACACTTATCAGATTAAAATTTCAGGGATGAGTAACATTAGAAAATCCTCAGGACTGAAATCCTCAGCTAATAGGCAGGAACAGATGTAAGGTTTCAGGTAACGTAGATAATATATTTTACCTTTGTAGCCTTACTAAAAAACATTTCTTTGCTTTTCTTTAGCTTTGAGAGAATCAATATTATCAGAACAAAATTAAGAAATTAATAATTTTTCCTCAGTAAAACTGACAAGTAGAGAGCAACATTCTGTTTTATAAGCACAACAAACAGGCGGGCACGTGATACTGCCAGTTCCTGAAATCCACCGAGAGATTCTCAAGGCTTTGCTTCTTATAGGCTGCAAAAGCTAGTTCAAGAACTGGCAACATGAGACAGCATATCTAACAGAAGAAAACGTCTTTTGCCAGATGTTAGCCAGCACCACATTAGTAAGCAGCAAGTCAGCAAAAACATACTATGACCGAGAATATCAGTATTTTCACATTGGCCAAAAACCTAAATTACAGCTCAAAACTGAAAAAGAATTTATGTAATCATATTAAATGTACTTTCTTCTGCGAGATGTGACTTTCAAAAGAAGCCAATGCATATTCAGGCACAGGTAACATCAGACCAACATATCATGAACACATGCAGAGCATGGAATTCCAGGTCTGTTGTTCATGATAAAAGCATTTACTAGCCTCCTGTCTTGTGGATGCCACCTGAAGAATCCCTCCATAAAGGCCTTTTTAATTTCCCTCTTTCCTCAGATATTTATTAGTTGCCACAACTGCAAACAGCAGACTATGCTACAAGACTTCCACTCTCAGCCAGTATAATTCTCACTAACTTAAAATATGCATTTCTATTCCTAAAATAGTATTAAAAAACAAAACAAAACACAATAAATACTAGATGGCTTGTGGTTTTAAAATTTTCCTTTTCTTTTTTTTAAATGGCCAAAATGAATGGCCAGCACCCAGTTGAGGAAAACGTGACCTGCTCTGGTAATTATCCTTTCGAATTACAATTCAAAAGGCAATAATTTATTTTGTTAATTCATCTAGTGTAGTTATTTTTCAATCTAGTCTTTCAAATATTCTGAAATATGCCTCTAAGCTTTATTAAGCAGATCTCCTTGCAGAATTAGACACTAAAATTTTTGATGGAAGAGAAGCAGAATGGATATGGTTCACTAAATATATAAGGTTCTGATTTGATTTTATTTTTTTTAAACACATGGTATGCAAACACAAAAAAACACATCTTTCAAAGAAAGGTGTTTTAATGTCAGCTAAGATCGTGTCTCTATCTCCATTTAAACTTTAGTGAGAATTCAAATAGGGAAACTTCTGGCTTGTGTTTTGGGGGAGAAATGGAGGGGACTAGGGATGGAGGGTGTTGTTTTAAAATGTATACACCAGACTTAATTACATTAGTAGAAATAAGAAACAGAAAATACTAATTATTTTCAGCTTCTAGTGTTCTCTGGTTGACCGAAGTTCAGTATTCTAAGATGAAAGTGTTTATATCTTGCTTCCAATATTATGTTGCTTACTTCACTTCCATCTGGACAAATAATCCGTCTTGGTTCACAGAAAAATAACATTTTTGTGGCATTGACAAACACTTTTTCTCTTTTCCTGGGAATATCCAAATTAAAACAAAAGCTTTTGTTTCTTAAGGCATCTAGTTACATTACTTTCCCACTTAAAGTAATAATCTTACACTTGTAAAACCATAACATTTTATATTAGAATATACAGCATCATAAGCAAATGACATATGCTTTCCAGAATTATATAACAGAGTAAGAGAAGAAAGTAATTATTTGGCCTAAAGTTAAAAAATCATAAATAATTTACTTACAAGATCAAGGGCAGAGCCTCCGCCAAGATATTCCATTATTATCCATAGCTTTGTATCCTGTAAAACAAAACAACAAAAAAAGAATATTACGGGGAAAAAAAGATCAGTTCTTTATTGTTAAGTTTTAAGACTTGTTTCATCCTTTTTGGTGAAGAAAGGATCTACAGTTCTGAAACACCGCCAATGTTTAGCTGTACCTCCAAGATACCTCTGGATTTAAGATGTGATATTCTTTTTGGTCCCATCTGATGAGGAATTCACAAGCTATTTACACAACTGTGTGTTCTCAAGAAAGTTTAATTCTGTTCTTTTAATTGAACAAGTGGAAAGCTACCCCACATTCATCAGAAGGTAACAGCACAGACATTAGAAGTTAATTACTTCAAATAACTGATACACACTCATGGTACTTCTTCTGTGTATTGATACTAATACTGCTAGAATACAGATAGCATCCAGAATACAGATAGCAGAATACAAATAGTATCCAGAAATCCAGAACATTCTCTTCAATACCAGCCAAACAGTAATGTAGCAGAAGGAAACTTCACCTTTAAACCGAAAACATAAAGAACATAAACATCTAATCCAATGGTCAAAGCCTTGGAATTGGAAACAAGAATGACTAGAACCAGAAACGCACAAGTATTCTGAGGCCCTGACTTCAGCATATTAACTCCCAAAAGCCACCCACCTAACCGTCTTGTTCTTATGACAGTCATTAGTACGTTTTGGTAAAACTATCTGGTGAGACAGGAAACAAGACGGACAGGGGTCAGGCAGTGCAAGCAGAGAATAAACATTTACATTTAAAAACTCTAATACAGACATTCAGAATACCAAATATTATTTACATTACATAAAATATATTTCCTTTCATTACTATAAAATGTCTTCATTTTATTATCTTCATTAGTATAGATACTCAAAATATTTTCCTTAATAAGCTTAACTCCTGTGTAAGTTGAATTTCATTTAAAATGTATTGTTCAAATCACTGAATTGTTTCATTCTCTTGAAAGATGGATCTAAAACAGGTAAGTTATGAGTTAAGGAAGAATACTGGAAAATTTTCTCTTCTAATGTTTATTCATCTGATATACGGTATAGAATTCTGGACAACTATGTTCAAGAAAGATGAAAGCAATGAGAAAGATAGAGAATAAAGTTTATTGTAGATGGCTACAGCAATTTGTTAGTTTTACCAAGTAACAAAGTTTGGGAGGAGTTACAATTACCCTGAAATACCTCACAGGATTTAAGCAACCACACCCCATACACATACAAAAGCTAAAAGAAATTAAGCTCGTATAAAAGCTCGTTTTCCCTTTTCCAAGGGAAAGCTTGATGTATTTCAGAAACGTATAATACAATATATACTATTGTATATACTACAGTAAGAAAGAGACTGGCCTCAGGAATTTGTTTCTGCTGTTTGCAGTGTCTTATTCCTAAATACGCTAGGAGAAGCAGTAAGTCCACCTTTCCCTTGCAGTAGAACCCTTGAGACATGATTAAAGCAAAGCCATAAATCCACTAGATAAATATTCAAGTGAAATTGCTGCATGAACCATACATTTTGTTATGATTATCAAGTTATATTACGGTTTATTAGTTTTAACGCCATGTACCAAATACTCACAAGAATTCAAGCATAAAACCTAAGTATCTTTTATAAAGCAAGGAGCAGATAAATAGCAATAAGATTAATTCACTTTAATCTGCAAAATAAAAATTAATGTGAACACAGTAACTGACAGCCAGAGCACGTGAGACTCTCTGAATATTCATCTATAAAGACGGTTATAAAGAGAGTGTGTGAGCGCAAGAGAAGGCAAGTGAGAGTGTGAAACAGAGAGCATTCGAGCAACTGCATAATGTAACTTTTTAAAAATTATGTGAAGAATTTGAAAATTCTAGCTCTTAGTAATCACTTAGGCCCTTTAGTCATTGTTACAGCTGTAACTACATCTGCATCTGTCCTCTGTCTGACCTCAGAATGCACCTTTTGTAAGTAAAAGCACACAGCCCTCCACCTATCTCAATTTTCACAAGTTGTACCATTTTCAGGTAAGATCCTAGTCTAGAGTTCCTTCACCATCCACTATCTTTAATTTACAGATAAAAGTATTTCTATACTTGTTCTTCGGGAGTCAACTACTGGTATTTGACAAACACAATCTTGTTAAAAATATTTTAAGAGAAGCAGATCATAGCTCTTATAGAAAAAATAATTTTAAAACTTAAAGAAGTCTACATTACAATCTTTGTAAAGCGGTTTCATAATGTTTACTTCCTGCAGACACCAGAGATGCTGAAAGAATTATTGCATGTCTTAAGAGAATCCCTTATAATCCTGAAATAGTTATTTTTTTGTGGCTAAGTTTCCCAGATTTTACCTTCCCAGAGGCCCAAAGGCTCCAATCCCAATAGTTTCAGAACAAGCATGCTTTTGAGAGGCGACTTATTCTGAGTCATTTCATCTTCAGAAATCTTCCTGAGGTCAGTCAACACAATCAGTATATCAAAAAGGAAAAAAAAAAAAAGGCATTGAAAACCTGTCTTGAAAACCTGTCTTTTAAAGTAGCATGAAATAGCTTGCATACTCCAGTTTTGTGTACCTACAAAATTTAACGATGAATTAAGCACAAACATGTCAACTATATCACTACCACTTATTTCAGCAGAAATGCCTAGTTAGGAAAGAACATGGTAAGGCAGATTGAACCCCTTAATCTTACTGAAAATTAAAAAAAAATTCACATACACAACAAAAAAAAACATAAGAAATCAAGAGAAAATACATCTTCCATTTTCTAACATCTCAAGTATCTCATAGATTTAAAGAAATAACAACTTCAATTAGGATACAACAATTTCCCAAAAGATAAAAATTCTTCCCAAAACTAGCTACCAAATTCTTATACTTTTGATAATACTCAAAACAAGTTGAATATAAAAGTTTGGAAGTAGCATAAAATAACTTTAAAAGATATAAGAACGTCATGTATAATTCAGTCTTTTTATCACGATTCATACTTTTTTTTTTTTTAAAGTTTGCCTAATCTTTCCTCCTGAAGCTTTCATGAACAATTGCTTGGGGTCACATTTCTCAGTTTATAATATAATAGCTATGAATCCAGTAAACTCAGTAATATTACATTTTAAAATAAATCTAAAATTCAGTAAGGTGTGGAAATGCACTTAGGACACTTACACAACTGCACTTGTATCCCTGTGTGAAGTAAAACAATAGCCATATGTTATGATTATGGTATCTTTATCTACATTGCCCTAGAGTCAACTAAAATTGATCTTAAATGTGCCTCTACCATCCTCCCCAATATACTGCTCCTCCAATTAAGTTCTCATCATACATGTCAAAAATCTGAACAGAAATAAATTCCATTGTAGTGAATCTTACTATCACTGTAACTAATCCTTGCTGGAATTGATTTTCTTGGTTTTCTTATTTAAAATCTGCATAAATTGCTTAACAAGAAAATACAAAGGAATGTTTTTGGTGAGATTTTATCAAGCAATTCACCAAAACGTATTTCACTTTTAGAATCAGTTAACCCATATACACTTACTTTATGCCACTTGGCAACAGTGCAAGGCAACTAGAGCACTACTGTCAACTATCTTTGGCATCACCAGAAAAATGCACCTCTTTCTTTCATTACTTTGCCAATATCTCTCGCACTCTTGACATTCCCTAACACCTATTATTGCTTTTGCTTTTTAGGCAGCTGAAGATTCTGTCTCCCCTTGTACTTCTCCCTCTTTTTTGTATGCATCCCCCATTTTTCCTTTCGGATGAAACACCAAAAGCACTAAATTATCTTCAGTAGATTAATCAGAAAAAGCACTTACATACTATACTTTCAACAAAAAACTACATTTGTATACTGAGACTACCACCATCAGGCGCTCTGTTTTAAGATCTGAAATAAGATCAGTTTTCTTCTTTCAAACATCAGTCACAACAGAGCACTGAGGTTTCTTCCAAATACAGTGGCGCCATGGTGAGCTACTAATCCAAATTTAGCATCACTACTCCTCTATAAACATAAATGAGCACATTAATGAAGGCATATGGAATGTTTATTTTTTCATAGTAGGAACATGGGTTTTTTCTTTGATGCCATGAAGCTTGAAAAAGGAACAGCTTTGAAATCTAAGAGAAGCTCTGTTACTGAAGGGCAGAGTTTCTATAAAGACTTTCCTTTCCTAGTTCGCTCTTCTTGCAGTTTGACTTCTATTTTAACTCTGCAACCACACAGGACAAAAAAGAAAACTGGCAAAAGCAACCTTATCTCTAATAATGTGTTCTCAATTAATTCACTATTATATCATGAAAGTAGTTATAAATAAAACGCAGTTACAGTGGGGAAAGAACTTCCCCTAACATGCAAAAATCAAGGACCATCCACCAAAAGACTCTTCTGGAGCCTCAGAATTCCGTTTTAATAGAAATTTGAGCTGTACAAAAGAAGTGTACAAACATAAGCAAGATTAAACATTTCTTTATAAATCATTATGAAGCTAATAAAATATGTGAGTAAATATGGAGACGTCCATCTTTAGAGATGTCTTGTTTTACTTTTTTTAAAATGGAGAACACATTTCTTGGCTGTGTGATATTAAACAGGCAGGATTCACCAGAAGCAATCAAGCCAAAGTATATTTGAACAATCAAAATGTACCTAAATCACCTTTCTTGGGAGATTCAGGGTTTGCAGAGAACCATAAAGGAGAAAGACTACAAGCACTCAAAAGTAGTAACACCAAGTGATCTTCACAGCATTTCAAAATTTAGATAAAAGTACCAAATCAAGGAAGTCAGCTAATGCAATTTGAAAACAGCATCACAACTGTAAACACAACTTGAATGACGCCTGAAGTGAAACAAAGTTCCCATCTATTATGAGAAAGAGTATTTCCCACCTCAAATTCATGGTACACAATAGGCAGCAGAATAAAAAGTATTTCTAGAAGTGCATTAAAAAAATCTGTTACTCAAAGCTTTTCATTTTTCTAGAGACAAATCATCT